TGTTTATTGTTTCTTTAAATCACAAATTTCCCTGAAAATAGACCCACGATTTACAAGAAATCTTGCAAAGAACTATTTACATTAACTTTATTGAATTAGAGAAATAATTCAATATTTGGGTTTTAAAAGCTTATGGTGTACTTTAAATAATAATAGGTGTTTAATGATAAAAAAAGATAATTCTTCCATATATAAATTTTTTCAAACTTTCTTTGATGAGTTAAAATTATGCGTTTCTTTATTTGTTGAATACATATATAAAGTATTGTTCACCATTTTTTTAAAGATTGAATAGTATTTATTAGTTCTAATGCATGCTTTCTTTTATTTTATCCAGGAGAATAGATGATAATCCTTTTCACTGCGATTGTGATTTGATAGGCTTCGTAGATTTCCTTAAATCTGGAAATATCACCTTAATTGGAAACCCACCACGCTGCTTTACTCCTGAAATTTTGAATGGAACTTCATTGGTCAGTCTATCTGCTGCAAACTTGACCGTTACCTGTCCGAACACGACCACGACATCCACAGGTGTGTCCGTAGAAGCAACTGATGAAACTAATTCACCCACAGGTGTGTCCGTAGAAGCAACTGATGAAACTAATTCACCCACAGGTGTGTTCGTAGAAGCAACTGATGAAACTAATTGTTCACCTTGGAAAGGAGGGAACTTTTTGGTTATAGTATACGTGTCTTTATGTTCGCTTGTTAAAACCATGATGGAGTTTTAGAATACAGAAAAAAACGAATGGAGATATTGATTTTAAAACAATTCGAAAAACGCTAAAAAACGACTGGAAACTTAATGAAGACAGTGGAAAAACTATTTATACCCTTGAAATATATATGAATTTCCCATATATACTGATATTTCCAGGAAAATAGTGAGAAATAGGAGAGAGCTAAACATTACTATAACTTCAATCATGTTTTTTTTAGAGTAGATCTCCAGAACATCAAGGATAAGATGACAACCTGGTATAACGGCCTGGTTAAACCTAGATAATTAAATAGCACAGTTTACTAAGACTCCACTATTTTTTTTTGTAATACGTTACGGAATATTAGCTCTTGGGACATATTGTAAAACTTTTCGAAAATACAATGTATATTTGACATTTAGAGTTGAAATAAATTGACCATTAAAATATAAAGAACACCTTCATGAATAATTATCACATTTGTACAATGTAATTGTTATCATATTGCCATGAATATCAAAGTAGAATTGTCAAAAAATGGTAATACCAATCTCTTTTAAAATTGTTTAATGACATATCATAATAATATTGAAGTTATCATTTATTTTCTGTTGTCTTCTGTCATTTTATTGTCTATTAAACAAAAATATATAGTTTTTGTGATTTTTTTTGGGGGGGGGGGATTCTGTGATTCCAGTAGAATTTTTTAAATTTTTTTTATCTGAGCGTCTGTCAGACACATCTGCTTCATATTTGGAGATTTTTCTTGAAATAGATGTTAATGATTATCTTAAAACCAAGCTCTATGATAAAGGAGGATATGGAGATAACGAACAGTATTCAATCTCAAAGTCCATAAAACAATACAAAATAAGAGCAGGGCAAACACGGACCCCCGAAACAACAGAGGTGAGATCAGGTGCCATAGAGGAGTGAGCATCCCCTGCTACACTTTAATGATGACTTTAACTTCATCACCAGCAAAGGGAGATTATATATTTCAGTTGATTCCAAACGCAAGAGTATGCTCTATATATGTGAACGATTTCTAAATTAAAGGTAAATTATTGACAAACAAGTTGACGAAAAAAGAATATCAGCAGTCTCGTTTAAAGCCATCAATTTGTAAGTTCTAAAATTGATACAATAAACTTGTCAGCAAGTACAATTTGTCAAAATTTGAGTCAAATGCTGACGTTTTTCATAATAATTGTTAGTCCATTATTTATACACTAAATTGACGACGGATTTTTCCGTTATTATGACAGGGAACACACTGCGAGTGTGACCGGTCGGCAGGGGATGCTCACTTCTCCATGGTTCCTGATCCCACCTCTGATGTTTTCAAGATCCGTGTTCCCTCTGCACCTATTTAATACTGTTTCATCTTTTGATCTTGAGTACTGTTCGTTATCCTTATTTATTTCCTGAAGAAGAACCAAGACATTAAAATGACATTTAATTATTTCTTTCTTTATGATTTATAATTTGCTAGTTTAATATGCCCATATATATTTTAAAGCAGTTCTAACATAAGATTTTTTTTTACTTCATTTTGAGAGAAATACCAACAGTGTCAAGGAGGAGGCTTGTTTCTCAATTTTTAATGACCCGTTATTTTGTTTTCCATAATTGGAATTTATAAATGTAAATGGACATGTATCTTTAAAAAAATATATCAGACTTATCACACTGCATCTGAACAGGAAATATTTTTAGGATATCGTCAATTTGAAATATATGGATAAAATGAAGATTATACAAGAAGGATATGGAGATAACGAACAGTAATCAATCTTAAAGTCCATAAAACAATACAAAATAAGAGCAGGGCAAACACGGACCTCCGAAACAACAGAGGTGAGATCAGGTGCCATAGAGGAGTGAGCATCCCCTGCTACACTTTAATGATGACTTTAACTTCATCACCAGCAAAGGGAGATTATATATTTCAGTTGATTCCAAACGCAAGAGTATGCTCTATATATGTGAACGATTTCTAAATTAAAGGTAAATTATTGACAAACAAGTTGACGAAAAAAGAATATCAGCAGTCTCGTTTAAAGCCATCAATTTGTAAGTTCTAAAATTGATACAATAAACTTGTCAGCAAGTACAATTTGTCAAAATTTGAGTCAAATGCTGACGTTTTTCATAATAATTGTTAGTCCATTATTTATACACTAAATTGACGACGGATTTTTCCGTTATTATGACAGGGAACACACTGCGAGTGTGACCGGTCGGCAGGGGATGCTCACTTCTCCATGGTTCCTGATCCCACCTCTGATGTTTTCAAGATCCGTGTTCCCTCTGCACCTATTTAATACTGTTTCATCTTTTGATCTTGAGTACTGTTCGTTATCCTTATTTATTTCCTGAAGAAGAACCAAGACATTAAAATGACATTTAATTATTTCTTTCTTTATGATTTATAATTTGCTAGTTTAATATGCCCATATATATTTTAAAGCAGTTCTAACATAAGATTTTTTTTTACTTCATTTTGAGAGAAATACCAACAGTGTCAAGGAGGAGGCTTGTTTCTCAATTTTTAATGACCCGTTATTTTGTTTTCCATAATTGGAATTTATAAATGTAAATGGACATGTATCTTTAAAAAAATATATCAGACTTATCACACTGCATCTGAACAGGAAATATTTTTAGGATATCGTCAATTTGAAATATATGGATAAAATGAAGATTATACAAGAAGGATATGGAGATAACGAACAGTAATCAATCTTAAAGTCCATAAAACAATACAAAATAAGAGCAGGGCAAACACGGACCTCCGAAACATCAGAGGTGGGATCAGGTGCCATAGAGGAGTGAGCACCCCCTGCTGACCGGTCACACCCGCCGTGTGCTCATTGTCATAATCAGGAAATAACGGAAAAAAAAACCGTGGTCAATTCAGTGTATTAATGATGGACTAAAAATTGGTATGAAAAATATTAGTCAGCATTTGACTCAATGATAAATTGTATTTGCTGACAAGGTCATTGTATAGAACTTACGAAATGATGACTTTAAACGAGTCTGCTGATATTCTTTTCTCATCACCTTGCTTGTCAATAATTTACCTCGTTTTAAAACTTGTTCATGAATACGTAGAGCATGCTCTTGCGTATCGAATCAACTGAGATATACATACATGTATAAACTCCGTATGCAGGTGAGGAAGGTATATTGCTACATGGGTAAGCCTTAAGGACGTTGACGATAGAAAAGTTAAAGTCATCACGTTATCATTGAGCATGGTTGTTAGATTTCCATTAAAGTTTTTTCAAGTAAAATATACAAGTATTAAACAGCTGTGTCAGACTCTGTGGTATCTTTAATCTCAATCTCACTAGGATATATCGTATCGACGTAGGAATGGAAATTTCCATAATGATACGTCGTTGATATATCTAAATGTCGAGTTGAAGGCCACAGTGTTTTCTTCTTAGAGGATTCGCATAGGATTTTATACAAATTCTGCTTCATAAGAATATAAAAATAGGTCAGCTTATAACGGACCACAATTAGTACCCATGGGGATTCCAATAGATTGTTGGAATACCTGGTTTCAAAAAACCATATATTGTCAATCAGAAACTCTTGCATCTCTTTGATGTCATCTTCAAAGTACTTGTGTGTGTAATCAGAATGTATTTTAACAAAATAATTTTGCAAAATGACCAATGACCATATATGTAAATTAACGAGTAAAAAATTAAATAAAAATCTTATTTCATTTTAAGGTTATGAAAACTTTTAATTTTTGGCGGGTTTTAATGACATATCCTTGCACTTTCATTGTATGCATGGATACAGCGTGCTTGGGTGTATCCACTTCTTGCTGATATCTAACGTAAAAACATGCGCGCGCATCAGGATGCTAAGAGTTATCTGTCGGACGCCAGATAAATAGACCCTTTCACCATAACTGCGGTACTGCTCTTTTGCAGGGAAAAATGATAGATTTTGGTGAAATATAACGTAAAAGCAATTGTTCAAAAATGTCATTTAATTATCTATCAACAAAAAATCCGCCAAACGTTACTAATTTGCCCTGTATGTAGCAGTAGTACCGCAGTTACCGTGAAGGGGCTAATTACGGCCGAAAGATAACTATCTAGCAGCCGTCAGAGAAATATATTGCGGCCGCCAGATATTACATATATGTATATAGCGAACGCCAGATAAATATTTAGCGACAGCCAGAAAATTATGTGAATTTAATAAAATAATTGTGTTAACAATCTAAAAAGCAAATTAAAAAAGTTAAACGGTTAAATTGTCTGCACTATAGAAAGAATTTCACTGATCATTTGTTGGGTTTATCTTTATTGTTCCTAGACTAAAAAAAAACAAACGACGGCATTCAATTCACCAAATGCTCAGCTCTGTGAAAATCTATACACACATGTCGGAGTTTTCACGGCTCCATAAAGTTCATCAAACGTTAAAATGATTTGTGGAAAAAAGGCATGCGCAAATTTCTAAGAAATCTAAGCTCCTGAGTGAAAAAGAAGATGTCTGGATGAGCCGGGAGTTTGACACCAATGACATTTTTCCTGCCAGCCTCTTGCAGGAAATTTATATCGATCTCTGAGTGGAGAATTCAGGATGTTGATTCCACGGAGTAGAAGAACTTATTGAATGGCTACAGGCCTCGTAGAAGATGTAAGTATCCTTAACTAAACTCTCACACACGTGTCTCGATATTGATTTGTAGAATGGAGAGAGGGAATAGATAATTGTTTGTTTAACATAAATTAATGTGAATGCCTGGTGCTGTATTACAATGCACGGGGAATATTTAACGTAATGGTGTTTAGTCTAATGTGTTTAATTCGTGTGTTTATCCTTCTGCTCTGTGAAGGCCTGATGTTGAGTTCAGGAGTCTGGATTAATTAAAACTGAATATATTTAGTAAGTGTAGGAATTCATTAATGTTCCAGCTACATAAAAACTTTGGACTGTGAATGAAACCAAAATCTCAGCCTTTTCATTTTATTTCTCTAAGGAATTTATTAATGCTGTGTGTTCTGCATGTGTGCTATAACAATTGTGAAACTGGAGAGCCATTATCTTTATTCCAGATGATGTATTTTTATCATATATCCAGATGTACTGTGATTTAATTTTTATTCATTAAAACCTTAATACATTCAAAGGTGAGCTATGCATACAGAGGTTAAGACAAAGATTGCGATATAAGTATTTATACAGAGAAACCTGCCTAATCCAACTTACACTAGGAGACAAATAGACAATGTTGCATGGCACAGTGTAAAAAACATGGGAAAGAGTAAAATGGGGGGAAAAATCATGTCAGAGTTCACAGTGTGTCAGATTATTCAGGTGTCAGATTAGGTAGTTTTCACTGTATATGCCAATACCATTGTCTTTCAACTTGGAGGTATTCTCAATTAGCCCTTCCGAAATGGAATACATGTATCTGCAGTCAATTTATTTTTTCTTTTTTCAAAAATAACCGGAGTTGCTACTGGATTAAAATTATTGGGTTATATATTTTCATGTTCTAAGGAAACAGAATATATGGATTATATATAGTGAATGATACGAGCTTTTTCTTCCCTGTATTAATCTATAATATTTACTTTTTCAAGTACTTTGTGACTGTCTATAGCTGATTCATGTTCATCCGTTCAAAGCTACCAGAGATCTGTCTTATTTCCTTGTATCAGATTGAACCAGGATTACTTTTATTCCAACTTTTTTTTTCGTAATTAAGATTTCCGTCATTAGTTCTCATGGTAATACACTTGTTTTGGACTGGTGTAGATTCAGGATTTGTTTTCAAAGGGGGGGATCCACCTCAATCCAAAAAATCCTAATCTAGAAATATATTAATAATTAGCCTAAACGATTAAAGGAAAGTGCCATTCCTAAACAGGAGAAAATCTTATTCCATGTTAAGGTTGATCTATTTTTCTAAGACGGAAGGGGTCCAAAGTCATATTTAGCTCACCTAAGCTGATCAAAACTCAAGTAAGCTGTAAACTTTTCAAGTTTTTTTTCTCAAGAACCACTGGGACAATTTGGTGCAAAGCATTCTTGGGTAAAGGTGATTTTAAAAATTGTGAAAATGAAGTGCCAATTTTAAGACATCTTTCAAGGGAGATTTATATCATGTAGTGAAGAAAAGACAAATTTTAAAAGGGTGGGGTTGGGCAGGGCCATAAAAGGAAATCCAAGTTTTGTTTTGAAATAATGATACAGAAAATTTTTTTTTAAATATCTTCCCTCAAGAACCACCAAGCCAGAAAATCTGAAACTTATGATTACAGGAGCATGCTGGTATCATGTAGATTCTTATAATTGTTCAAATCATGACCTTAGAAGTGGGAGTAGGGCGGGGCAACAATAGATATTACAAGGGGACAAACTGGTGAAGAATAGATTTTAGGGCCAGATGCTCAGGTGAATGCTACATATGTATGGCCAGTGGGCCTCTTGTTATTTGTTGCAGTGTACATGTTATATAATAACTTTACAATTCCTGAGGTTGGGGCTTTGACCCCTTCTTGACCCCCAATAGATCCACACATGTAGGAGAACACTTGTTTAGGGGGTCCAGGCTCAAGTCCTTGTTTGATAAAGTGTTGATATTACTGTAAAATCACATATTTTTGAAGGGTCAAATTTTTGTGGTTTGAGAAAAATATTTTGGTTAATGGGGATTTGATTTTGTGGTTGAAGAATTGCTCAGTTAGTAATATATATGATAAATTGCATTTCATGGTGGACATACATTTGTGGGTCTCGATCTTCATACCTTGAAAAACCACAAAAATTAAACCCCCTTGAAAATTAGTGATTTCAAGGTATATTAAAATTAATCCGTTCAAGAATTAAAAATCCTGAACAAGGCAAAACACAACATGTATGGAGATTCTTGGAGATGTTAGACCCGGGATCAAGTGCCAAGAAGTAAGTATCCCTGTTGACCAGTCCAATATGTTGTTCTCCCATTCTGTTAAATTTTGTGCTGATTTGACCATACCTTGTTCTCTCTTGTACCAAAGAGGTTTATAGAGCTAATCCCATGTCAATCAGTCTATTAGCACCATATTTAATTATATTATCCATCAGACTTAAAAGCCTCCTGGCTGAAAGAAAAGTTGAAACGTAAAAGACTGATGAGATTGTTTTTGATTTTGAATCTCCTATCACGCACCCTTATCATGCTTATAAAGATAATTTACCTAACCGTACCAATTAATAAAACATAAGTTTTCTGTTGTTTTTAAAAATTTTCCCCAATACATATTCCTCTGACTATATATTATAGTTAAAATGAAAAAAAATGTATAAAAGAACCGGTAGTATATATACAATATACATTCTAATGGAGGAGTCCTGGTTTTATAAGAAGTAAATATTTGATAGGGTCTGGGGTTTACCAGCTGTTGTGATGCCCACTGTAACCAGACAGACAGAGGCTGTAATCCTTTCCAATTGAAATCCAGCTATTTTTCTCTTCTCTCGTGTTTTGTGGCTTTTCAAAGATTGACATAAAATAGCCGACTAATCTAATTAATTCCTCCTGAAGGGAGCTCTTTGATGAGGAATTATGGGTAATTTGAGTGATTAAGATAAAAAAAAGTGGTCGGATATTGGGGTCAGTTGATTTTGTTTTAAATTGTGTGGAACGATACACACACCGGAACATTGCTAAATATTTAGGCAGTCATGTAAATATACAAGTTCTAGCCAGCACTTCATTGTTTATTATAAGATGAAAGTTAATACAATGATTGTAAGTATAATGGCTAAATGCTAAGGGTTATAAGATTAATAAATGTTTGATTTGATAAATATATCCCAGGTGATTTCTCTTATATATTGTATAAGGTGTAAAAGTGATCAAAAGAATAAAAAGGGATTGATATGCTTATCATGCTTGTGATAATTTTTTTAATTTGCGCTATTTCATGATTTATGGTATAATACTGTGGCATCATTTAATTAAACTCATGGGGGTCAGTTTTCCATGGGCAACAACAATGTTACCACAGTTTTAGAGGGGGGGGGGCTTTATTTTGTGCATAACCCATAGGGATTAGGGTTCAATTAAGTAATATATGTTAACAAATTAATTGTCCATAGGGATGTAATTCATTGCTGAGGGTGAACCAAGAAATCCATTGGTCCACAAGGAGTGGTGAGTCTAGAGCAGTATTTTAATTATTTCTGTTTTGGTTTTGTTTCAGTGAGCATGGGCCAGACGCATGATGGGTAATAAACTCTGTGCCCCATTACTGAGTAAGAAACCTTACAGAGAGGACCAGTATCCATGGCAACACAGCAAGGACTCTCATCTCCTGAGGTAAGAATTGTATAAACATGTATCCATGGCAACACAGCAAAGATTCCCATCTCCTGAATTGTATATACAGTAAAACTCGGTTATAACAAAGTCGCTGGGACCTATGAAATTACTTCACTATATCCGTAATTCATTATAACCGTATGAGAAATTCATTAAATTTACATAGTGGGGATCCAAGATGACTGCGCTATATCCGTGAATTCGCAATATCCGTGTTCGTACTAAACGAGTTTTACTGTACAGGTATCCATGGTATCTATATATATGTATTCATGGTAACTGTATATATACATGTACCCATGGTAACTGTATATACATGTATCCATGGTAACTGTATATACATATATCCAGCAAGGACTCTCACCTCCTGAGGTAAGAATACTCAATATGCTTGTATCCATGAGAATACAACAAGGACTCCCATCTCCTCAGATAAGAAGTGTATATACGTGTATCCATGGTAACTGTATATACATGTATCCATAGCAACACAGCAAAGCAAAGGGTAGGTGTTAATTTTCTATTTAGTTCTTAAACATTTCCTTTCAGTGAAAATGGTCCTTGAATTTTAATCTGATCAGTGAAGAATTTTAAAACCTTCTCAAGTAAAAGTCTGGCTTTTCCTTCAAAGGGAAGGTTTTTAACAATTGATGAGAGATAATGACAATAAAGTGACGTATAATCCCTGGCCTTTAGCTTTGATGTATTACAGGTGAAAACAGGTAGATCTGAGTGACATTGTTCTTATTTATATCTGATAGAGATGATGAATATTTATAGTGGGACAGAATGAAATCTTCAAGAATAATGTTGGGAAAAAATCAGAAATTGTGAGAATGGCTGGGATATAATTTATGTGTGAAGAAAATGCAGAAAGATTATTGTTACAGTGGTTTGAATGGATTCTAAATAAGTGAATTCATGGATTATAATTTGATAAAAATATGCACTTAATTACAACACTGAACAATTATATTGTAAAGTTCAAGTGAGATGGCAAACTTACTGTGTATGATGGAGAATATGAGCATCAAGAGATCTAAATAATATTTAACAATTGAAATTGGATTTGAAAAGTTATAACTACTTATGAAAATTCTCAATAGGAACTTTCTTAATATTGTAACACTGTACAGCAGGTTTCACCTGAGTAACCTCTGATGAATGACCTTCAAAATGTTCAAAACGATGACTTTATAGGTGATAATGGTTAAATATCTTTATAGATTTAGCTGAAGTTAAAAAACTCTATTAACAAAAGAGAAAAAAAAATCTCCACATTTTGTAATTGATAATAATATTTTCACAATTTTCGTAACTATTATTATAATAGTTTATACATATATATGTTTAACTTTTTTCTCCGACGATTAAAAAAAAACTTTGGACCCGAATTTTGAGCAGACCTGTAGATGAGGTAGAAAGTGATAAATTAAGGATGTCACTCTTTGATGTGTGGAGATAAAAAAGATATACAGCTGACATGCTGATCTCGGTGTTTCTACAGAGGAAACTGGTGTATTGTGTTTGGGGCAGAGGAACCTGGGAATTACTTTAAGTGTTTTAAGATACCACTCTGTATCAAATCAATTACAATCCATTAAAATGGAGGCCAGGTTTTCATGCTGAAAAGATTTTTATTCCCTGAAAATATAAACACATGTAGCCAAGCCAGCTATTGTGTTGGTGGTAGTGGATAAAATGTTTTATGGAAGAGTGTTTATACAGACTGAAGATTTCATTAGAATTAAGATGGATTTTAATCTTTTAAACTTTAACCTCAAATGTGCCTGACAATGGAGTTGCAACTCCCTAGTGTTTGCAGTTCAAAGGTCATCATGTGCACTCTGACCCCTGACCTTTGACCTTGACCATGAGGAGACCAAAAAAAAGCAACGTTTGTAATCAGCTGTAAGTATCAGGGTTGAACCAAGATTCTTAAAAGGGAGATAAGTCTTACAAATCCTTGCAATAATGGCTGAAAAAACAACATATTTAAGGAATCACTGTCTAGTTGGTATAGTATGCCAGGGCATGCATATTAGCTCCTGACTTATTGACCTGCCTAATTTGCATTTCGGAAGAATTATCAAGAAATCAACTCCGCTAACTTTCAAAGAGTTATCACAGAGAAAAATATTAGAAATGGAAATATATATAGGTGCATGACCAAGATTTAGTTCCTTAGATTCTGCAGAGAGGGGAGAGGAAACAGAAAATAATTGAATCTACTCTTTAGAAAATTCAATATGTTTAGTTTGAAATTTGCACTAACAAGATTCTTTAACATATATGAAACATTGCCAGGTGCATCAAGATGAAGTGGTTCTAGGATTTATTTTAGAGTCACAGAAAAAGGGGTGGATCCTTATGTACATTGTTGGTTACAGTTTTGTGATTTTCCACCCGATACCACCCAGCCCTTAAATGATGCTACCATATTTCTCTAGGAAAAATTTTCAGAGATAACGAAATACCAGTGAATAGAAATTATGGTTGGTTACTTATAAAGTAGAAAATACATGTACTTGTGAAACAGGAAAGGAGAAAATGTATGGTTGGACCGTGAATCAAACCCAGGAGCCCTGCATCTTTATAGTCAGGTTGTCTACCAACTGAGCTATTCAGGTATCCACGGCCTAAACCATTACATTCCTCCCTCCTTAAATGGTCTTTGCCCTCGAAGACACAACCCAAGTTCTTATTGCCCCTGGCAGGACTTTCACTTGCAATTCCTGGGGTGGTCAACAGCATCAAATCTGTAACAGCAAATGAGACACTGTATGACTGGACCAGGAATCGAACCCGGGTCTCCCTCTCACTCTAAGTATGGAACCCGGGTCTCCCTCTCACTCTAAGTATGGAACCCGGGTCTCCCTCTCACTCTAAGTATGGAACCCGGGTCTCCCTCTCACTCTAAGTATGGAACCCGGGTCTCCCTCTCACTCTAAGTATGGAACCCGGGACTCCCTCTCACTCTAAGTATGGAACCCGGGTCTCCCTCTCACTCTAAGTATACTTTCTTTAATCTCTTTCATTTTAGTACACCACAGAGCAGATCACTTTGATGGATTAGAAATTAGCCAGGAATTGAAACCCTTCAGTGCATCATGATCACTGTGTATAGAGCTGCCTTAAATATCTAATATTTGAAACCTTTAGGGTCTTTGAGCATGTTGACTCTTGTTGAGAGGGAATATTAAGAATTATGAATACTGTACATGGGGAAATTTTCACCCATGTTTTAGGGTTAGGCTCCTTTTGCACTCTTCTTGATTGGGCGAATTTAAAATGGGGCAAATTCAAATTACACCTCATAATTTCTTAAACAGAACTATGACTGGGCAAATTTAAAATGGGGCAAAATTGTTCGCAAGTGCAAAAGGGCAAAATTAACATGGGTCGATAATAACCCTTAAACCCTGTATACAATATTTGGGATTGCACGTATGGCGCAGTGGTTACAGGATTAAAGTTCTTGAGTCGTGGAGAAGGAATGTTGAGGATCCTTTGTGTCTGTGGAGTGAATGACACTGAATTGTCCTAAATGGGGCTTCAATTTTTTACAGGAAAAAGATGCAGAAAAATACTTGATGTTCAATGATTTTCAATTATCTGAAAACAAAATCTCCATAGAATAAAATTGATTTTCTTGTCTCCCTGCACATTTAACCAAATAACAAATTATAAAATCAACACAAGACAGGGGTGTCATCTTGTGAGAGAAGTATAGCAGCTGTTGTCATGGAAATCAATGAGTGTCTGTTGTCATGACGATCAATATGTCCTACATTGTGATGGTTAATTTGTTCCTTGGATCAATCTGAACCCTTGTCTGAAAATGGAGGCAGTGTTGGGATTTTCTCAAGGATTTCTATAAAATTTCTAACTGGAATCTAAGTTATTCGTTGTTTTTGTTTCGCTTCATTCCGTGTAGGTGTTTGACTCATTTCTGGAGGGTAAGGAATCTATTTATAGAATCACAGACTTCAGGATTTATTATTTTTCTTGGTGCCGTCATCCGCCCTCAGCTAAAATGCTGTAACTTGATTTTGTTATGGTGGGAAGATAAGAGCTCTCTGTATACTTTGTATATTTATAAATAATCATGGATGCATAAAGAATACTTTAATGAATATTATTGCTGTACAAAAAGTGAAAAAAGAAATGACTTTATTCATAACAGAAATGTCATGCAACTATTAAAACTCAAGAAAAAAATTTGATTGAATCTATTCTTTTTTGGTTTGTACATAATTTAAAGTATTATTTTTTGCATGCAGCTATATTTTAAAAAAACTATTATGAAATTTTTATTTAAACAAATATCTATAGCTCTATCAGAAAAATAAAAAAAAATAAGTAAGATTTAAACTTTTTGCAAACAATAAATTGATAAATTACTAGTTGCTGTACAAAAAGTGAAAAAAGAAATGAGTCTATTCATCACATAAATGTAATACAATATCAAAACTCAAGAAAATTTTTTTTATATACATCCTATAAAAATTAGTTAGAGTAGTTAATTTATTCCTTTTTTGGTTTGTACATAATTTACAGAGTATCTTTTGCAGCTGTGACTAATGAGTGTTACAGTAATGTTAAATAAAAGTATAAAAACTTAATTGAAACAAATATTAACTCTATCAGAAACTTTTTAAAAAGTAAGATTTAAACTTAAAACATTGTGATATTGAGACTGAAGTTGTAGGAGTTCTTCCCCTTTATGCAGTGTAACAGATAATTCACCAATTCACTTTTATATAGCTGGTACTCTGTTACATTAATTATTACTGTAAGAATTTTATAATACGGTTGATACAGTTAACTCTAGATCTCTCTGTTTTAATGTTTAGATGTTGTGCTTCTGATTGTTGATCTGTTGTGAAGTATCGGTACTTTTATCACTTGACTGTAGACGGTACTTTTATCACTTGACTGTAGACGGTACTTTTATCACTTGACGGTAGATGAGACATTAAGATTTTATGGCACATTATTGAAGGAGGCAATAAATTGTTATTAATGGACTAGCTGCAGAACTGTAGCAAAATATTTTGACAGACCGGAGAGCTACAGTGCCACCCATTGAAAAAACTGTACGTTGCGCACAAAAAAGTGTGCCGTTTCTCAATTTATTTCTGCATGTTTTTAAACTGTCATCTCAAAATATTTTTAATGTGTGTTCCTTACATATATTGCAAAAGAGAATAAATCATTATTAACAGACAAGATCAAATTTTCTCAGAATTTTGGTTTTGATTGTATATAATCATTATGTTAAATGTAATAATAGAACTATACAAAGAGAGTCAAGTTTTCTTTAGTAGACGGTAGATGTCTTTTCATTTAAAGAACAATCTAATTTGAAAAAAAAATTATTTGGCTGCTTAATGTTGCAGGCATGTTATTGTAGTAATTGGGGGGGGGGGGGGGGCTGGTCCCCTCACTTTTTTTTTCCAAACAATACCTTTACTATTCAAAATGTCCATTGAAAGTTTGGTTGGCCCCCCACTTCTTACTACAGTATAGTGATAAAAAGGAAAACATAGTATTGCATGCAAAAAAATTGGAAGTTGGCCTTAAATTGAAAAAAGTTGGCCACTACCCCCCCCCTCCCCCCAAAAATAGGATTTACATTTACAGGTATTAAGTTTAAGTAAAAAAAATTTTTTTCTCTGGTTGGCCCCCCTTTTTCAAAAATGATGCCACGTGCCTGTGTTGCACTGTAGTACTAGCTTTTATTTGACTTTTTTAGCTCACCTGAGCCGAAGGCTCAAGTGAGCTTTTCTGATCACATTTTGTCCGTCGTCCGTCCATCCGTCCGTCTGTCCGTCTGTCCGTCTGTCCGTCTGTCTGTCTGTCCGTCTGTAAACTTTTCACATTTTCGACTTCTTCTCAAGAACCACTGGGCCAATTTTGACCAAACTTGGTACAAAGCATCCTTGGGTAAAGGGGAATTTAAATTGTTAAAATGAAGGGACATATCCCCTCGCAAGGGGAGATAATCAAGAAAAGACAAAAATAGGGTGGGGTCATTAAAAAATCTTCTTCTCAAGAACCACTGGGCCAGTGAAGCTGAAAATTATGTGGAAGCATCCTGGGGTAGTGTAGATTCTAAATTGTTCAAATCATGACCCCCGGGGGAAGGGCGGGGCCACAATGGGGAATCAAAGTTTTATATAGAAATATATAGGAAAAATCTTTGAAAATCTTCTTCTCAAGAACCACTGGGCCAGAAAAGCTGAAAATTTTATGGAAGCATCCTGGTATAGTACAGATTCTAAATTGTTCAAATCATGACCCCCGGGGGATGGGCGGGGCCACAATGGGGAATCAAAGTTTTACATAGAAATATATAGGAAAAATCTTTGAAAATCTACTTCTCAAGAACCACTAGGCCAGAAAAGCTGAAACTTATGTGGAAGCATCCTGGGGTAGTGTAGATTCTAAATTGTTCAAATCATGACCCCCGGGGGAAGGGTGGGGCCACAATGGGGAATCAAACCTATATATAGAAATATATAGGAAAAATCTTTGAAAATCTTCTTCTCAAGAACCACTGGGCCAGAAAAGCTGAAAATTTTATGGAAGCATCCTGGTATAGTGCAGATTCTAAATTGTTCAAATCATGACCCCCGGGGGATGGGCGGGGCCACAATGGGGAATCAAAGTTTTACATAGAAATATATAGGAAAAATCTTTGAAAATCTTCTTCTCAAGAACCACTAGGCCAGAAAAGCTGAAACTTATGTGGAAGCATCCTGGTATAATGTAGATTCTAAATTGTTCAAATCATGACCCCAAGGGGAAGGGTGGGGCCACAATGGGGAATCAAAGTTTTATATAGAAATATATAGGAAAAATCTTTGCAAATCTTCTTCTCAAGAACCACTGCGCCAGAAAAGCTGAAACTTATGTGGAAGCATCTTGGTATAGTGTAGATTCTAAATTGTTCAAATAATGACCCCCGGGGGATGGGTGGGGCCACAATGTGGAATCAAAGTTTTATATAGAAATATATAGGAAAAATCTTTGAAAATCTTCTTCTCAAGAACCACTAGGCCAGAAAAGCTGAAACTTATGTGGAAGCATCCTGGTATAGTGTAGATTCTAAATTGTTCAAATCATGACCCCCAGGGGATGGGCGGGGTCAGAATGGGGTATCAAATTTTTACATAGAAATATATAGGAAAAATCTTTGAAAATCTTCTTCTCAAGAACCACTGGGCCAGAAAAGCTGAAACTTATGTGGAAGCATCCTGGTATAGTGTAGATTCTAAATTGTTCAAATAATGACACCCAGGGGAAGGGCGGGGCCACAATGGGGAATCAAAATTTTATATAGAAATATATAGGAAAATCTTTGAAAATTTTCTTCTCAAGAACCACTGGGCCAGAAAAAGTGAACCTTATGTGGAAGCATTCTGGGGTAGTGTAAATTCTAAATTGTAGGAATCATGACCCCCGGGGGAAGGGCGGGGCCATTATAGGGAATCAAATTTTTACATAGAAATATATTGGAAAAATCTTTGAAAATCTTCTTCTCAGGAACCACTGGGCCAATAAAGTTGAAACATTTGTGCCCATGGAAGGATCATGGTGTAGATTTCAAAATGTCTAAATTATGATCAGTGGGGTAGGGTGGGGATGCATTATGTATAACAAGGGTGAAATCTGGTAAAGAACAGAATGGTCAAAGGTTCTCAGGTGAGCGATGTGGCCCATGGGCCTCTTGTTGTTTTGTAGATTGTGGGCGGAGATATTCCGTGTTCATGGTGACGGTGACTATATGAGATGGGAGCGTGTTTCATTGGACGTCGTACCTGTCAATATCTCCTGTATCGAGGACACGCCCACTACAGTATTCCAGATCACCGCGTACAACAAACACGTTGAAAAAATATTTGACGTCAAAATTACACAACCAGGTAACAGTTACCTCCCTTTTGTAAAAATTAACAGTTACCTCCCTTTTGTAAAAATTAACAGTTACCTCC